GATGGATGGATGATGGATGGATGATGGATGGATGATGAATGGATGATGGATGGATGATGGATGGATGGATGGATGATGGATGGATGGATGCATGGATGGATGATGGATGGATGGATGGATGGATGGATGATGAATGGATGGATGGATGATGGATGGATGCATGGATGGATGGATGATGAATGGATGGATGGATGATGGATGGATGATGGATGGATGATGAATGGATGGATGGATGATGGATGGATGATGGATGGATGATGAATGGATGGATGGATGGATGATGGATGGAAGATGGATGGATGGATGATGGATGGATGATGGATGGATGGATGGATGATGGATGGATGATGGATGGATGGATGATGGATGGATGGATGGATGGATGATGGATTGATGGATGGATGGATGATGAATGGATGGATGGATGGATGCATGGATGGATGATGGATGGATGCATGGATGGATGATGGATGGATGCATGGATGGATGATGGATGGATGATGGATGGATGGATGATGAATGGATGGATGGATGGGCGGATGCATGGATGGATGATGGATGGATGATGGATGGATGCATGGATGGATGCATGGATGGCTGGATGAAATGAAGAGATGGATGGACCAGGGGCAAAATGGAAAACCTGGGTACCAGCAATATAACACCAAAGTTCCTCCCACAGCAAGTTCAAGTTCGAAGGCCCAATAAGATCACCAGTGGGCATCTGAAACTTAGTCTCCTCTGCTGTGAAGTGGAGCTAGGAAGAGTGCCCATGTCATAGCATTATTGGAAGGAACCACTAGCCATTTTCCTCATTGTCTCCACCTGAAGCCCTGGACTGAGTAACTGTGGGAGACTGCCTTTCTGAACCCCGAGCCTCAGTTACTCTGTTAGAGAGCCATAGAGTGATATGATGTTGGGAGCACACCTGAGCTCCAGGATACTCATTCAGATGGGAGTGAAGACCTTTCCCTGCATGCAATTTGTCCCCAGGAAAGGCAGGCCTTCAGTGCCCCTTTAAATTCCTCCTTCCCTCCTTTCTCTCTATCCACAGCTGGCTCCAGGTTTTAAGCTAAAGTAAACCACTGCTCTCAAATAGCCAACCAAAAATGGATTAAGAAATTGTGGTAAATTCATAGGGTGGAATACTATGCAGCGTGCTGGAGCAATGATTTCAAAAATTACTATATAACTTGGGAAGTACTGGAGTGCATTATGTTAAGTGAACCAACTCAGTCCCTAAGGACAAATACTGTATAGTATAAGGCCATTATTGTAGAAATAGAAAGATAACTAATAGAACAGGTATAAGGCTCCAAGGGGTGGAGGGAAGGAGCAGAGGGTCGAGGATAGACAGGGGGATAATCATAGAGTTGCATAATTTGGTGGGTAGAGAGGAGTAGGTAAAGAAAATGGGAAAGGTCCACTGTAGAAAAACAATGTATATGAACTTTCTAAGTAAACCAGTACAAAATTAAAATGTATTTAAAAAACAAAATAAAGAAAACCTTTACAACAACACAGAATAGGTCAACTACTGCTTAAAGATTCTTAATACCATGCTATCTGCTATGCTAATCACAGGAACCCTTTCATGATCATAAACATTATTCACTATAAATAAGTTTAAATGTAAGGAATCACATGGGATGAGGGGGAAGGATAAGAGCAGGAAGCCATACACACCCCCCTCAGGCCTGCCAACTTCCCTCCCACACACGAGCTGACAGCTGGCGCAAGCTCACCACTCGCCCAGTAAAAATCCCAAGCAGCCACACCAGGGTGCAGTCATGGAGTTCCCCTCACCAGCTGATCCAGGGGGGCTTCAATGTTGAGGACATCTCAGCCAGCCAAACTTTAGTGCCAGAGGTAGAGGACCTACCCCCAAAACTGTCAGCAACTATAGATCAACACCCCAAACTCTGATATCTAGACCTGACAGAGGTGGCCAGGAAGGAGCATTTGTAAACTGGCCATGATGGGCCCTACAGGGAACAGGGAAGGGCTGTTCTTGCCCAAGGGGAAGAATATGTGTTATCCATCCTGTAGTTCATCCATTTGATTAGCCCTGCTAATGAAGGCTGTCTCCAGCGGTTCAAATCCACCAGTGACTCTGCAGGAGAGATAGGCACAGTCTCCGTCTCCTCCCATCAAGGTTTACAGCCTCGGAAAACTGATGGAGGGTCGCTGCGAGTTGGAATCAGTTCAGTGGCAGTGAGTCTTGTTTTGGTTTTTAGCTGAACATCTGTTATGTACCATGTGTTGTGCGCACATCATCCCACTTGATTCTCTTACAAGCTCTGATGCAGGTCCTCTTTGCTCTCATTTTAAAGATAAGGAAATTGAGGTCCAGAAAAGTTAGAACAACGTGGCCCAGGTGACACAGTTTGTTGGGACATGTATTTGAACTCATGTTGACTGACCCCCAGGGTCCTTGTTCTTAATCACGATGCCCGAACCCTCTGTCTTGAGCCTGCTAGTAGCAAGGCAGGGTGGAGATACAGCCACAGCTCCCCAGGGGCAAGGTGATAGGAGACAGGAGAGTGAATTCAGCCCCAGCGCCAGGACGGAAGGGCCCAGCCAGCTGGCCCAGAAAGATCCCTTTATTACATAAACCTGGCTTCACACAGCTCCCGCCTCTCCCCAACCCCGGAGTGCCTGACTCAGGACTCTGGACAGCTGTTCACCTACTTTGCAGGGGAAACAGCGAACTCGGAAAATATGACATTTGCACAAAATGTTGCCAGGCAGCGGGAGTCTTCCGGCACGGCCCTGCCCTCTCCGGGGCCCAATCCCTGCCTAGCGGCCAGGTCAGGCCACAGAGGCGCTGGGATGCCCCGCTGCCTGCCCCGGAGCAGGGCCAGGCATGGGGAGCAGGGGTGAAGGGTGGGGAGCCGGGGGGGAGGGTGGTTATTTTAAGAGGCATTGTGGCTGCTTGACAAACAAATGCAGGCGAGGTTTCGATTTCCACTGTCCACTGTGGAGGCAGTCCGCTGCAGCCTGGAGCCCTGGACAGTGCCTCTGGGATGGAGGGAGGCAGGAGCTCAGGGATGAGGAAGGTGAGGTCAGAGCTTGGGCTGCTCCAACTGTGGGCTTAGCACCTTCCCTCAGCAGGTCTGGAGTACCCATTTAACATATGAGGACAATTGAGGCTTATTGAGTCAAAGTGGCTTATTCAAATTCTGACCCAGACAGAGCAGTGAGCCCTTCCTACCTCTAACAAAACTTCAAACATTATTCTTTCAGTTCCAAAGAGAATTTGCTGGTAGAATTTGCCCATTCAACTGACAGGAAAGCTGAGGCATTGAGTTCTGATTAGGGGCACAGATATCTGGTATCCTTGAGTTCTCAGGCCCTTCGGCCCCTCCTCGCCCCCCATTTGGACAAAGAGAAGAGAGAATTACCTTCAGGAGTTCCTTGGGTGGAAGCCAAGTGACAGGCAAACGAGACTATGATCCAGGCGAAGAGATACCCCCTAGAGACCAAGAGACACAAGCATCAGCTTCCAGTCATCAGGTCCACATCCGGCTGGGGAAATGGGGGCAGAAACGGCTGTCCCAGCCCCAGCCCCACTTCAGCCTCGCCCACAGGAGGCGGGGGAAGGAGAAGTACAGGGCTCACAGAGCCTTTCAGAGAACCCTGCAGGAACAGCTTCCCCACAACCTCTTTCCTGAAAACACAGTATCTTTCTCCCCAGCAACTCACTTTTCATAGTCAAGTTCACAGAGTAGGAAGCTGTGGAGAGAGCAGAGCCAAGGTCCAGCTCAAAACATGCTGACCCACCAGGAAACAAGGGCAAGCCCGTCTCCCTCTCTGAGCCTCAGTCTCCCCATCTGTGCAATGGCTTCATGATTTTGAGAACCTCTGGTGGCCTAGTCAATAGAGGGCAGTATTGCCAACCCAAAGGCAGCCGGTTTAAACCCACCAACGGCTCTGGGGAAGAAAGACAGGCAATCTTGTATGATTTACAGCCTCTGAAAAACCGCAGGAGCATCAGCTATGAGTTGATTCTGATTAGAAAGCCAGAAGTTACATTTTCCAAAGTATTCAGACAATGGGGGCAGAGTCAGGGCCAAAAGGTCATCAAGGAGACCAGACTGACATGCTTGGATGACCAACCTCCTGAACAGGCAGGAAAGATGAGAATTCACTTTGCAGACTGACTCAAGCAGAGAAAAGGAAAAGACCCTCTAACAAGGATCAGAAATGTCCTGGGGAAGCTGCCCCCTGGCTCTATGCCTTTGGGAAATGGGAGGAGAGGAGACAGAGACAATGGTGGGGGCTCAGGCTGACCTTGGTGCAAGCCCTGCTGCTTACCAGCCGTGTGGTCTGGACAAGTCACTCAGCCTCCCTGGGCCTACCTCCTCCTGGCAGCACGGGCTGACACTCCCTCCTGTCCAGATGTGAGGATTAAAAGAACCAGTGGGTGTCAAGGGCTCGGCCTGGCACAGCCCCAGAAGTGCTACATGGATATTCCCTGCTGTTCCCACACTCTGAGGCCAGAAAGGGTTAATGTTCCACTCGGGAGATCTTGCCAAGACAGGCAGAGGCAGCGATCTGATTTCACCTTCCTGTGGGAGCAGCCACTGCCGACACCCGAAGCCACCAGGGGCATCTGATCCCCAGGTAGGCAGTGGGAGGACGGCACGTGGCCAGAGTTGGCCAGGATGCAGGCAGAGTACAAGGCAGGCAGTGCGAGCTGAGGCTGACAGGCACAGGTTCCACTCCCAGGAGGGAGGCTGGGATGCTGCAGACAGAAGCGGGGTGCAGGAGCACGTTCCTGAGGAATCAGGGAATCTAGAGAAGCTTCAGCCAGCATAGAACACTATGCCCGGGGTTCACCCCAGGTTTTCTGCGGGTCCTGGAGGAGCTCACATGCTCTGTTGGCCTCATCTGCTTTCAAATTCAATAGCATTGATGATAAGCATTAATCCCGACCTAGGCACTACAGAAGACAATCATAGAGTCCTACTCACAGCCACCCTCACTTTGAACCTGTTCAAGTGGGTATGGATTTCAGAAGCTTTTGGATAAATTTGGAGACGTCTAAGTCAGTTCAGGAATCTGCACTATGCCAGTAACTAGTTTCAGCACAAGTATGTGACCCAAATCTGGCCAATGAGATATGAGGGCTGATTGTCAGAAGCTGTTAGGAAAGTGTTTTAAAAGGAACAAGAGAGATGGTTTTCCTCTGGCTAATATATGCTGTTGAGTGAAGACATAATGCTTGGAGGTAACGCAGCCATCTTGTGCACATGAGGTGACTAGTCTCAGAACCACAGAGAAAGTGTAAAGAATGAGAAACTAGAAAGACAGAAAGCCTCTGAGTGGTGAATACTATTTAGATGCAGAATTAGCCAACCCTGGTACTGTTCTTTCTTGAGGCCTCTTCACTAGGGTAGTAATAACTCTCATTACTCATGAAGCCAGGTAGAATTCAGTCTTCAGTGCTTTGCAGCATGAGGCTAACTTACCAGTACAGCATTTAAATGTAAATCATTATTTCTCAATTGTTGTTGTTGTTGTTATGTGCCGTCGAGTCGTTTCCGACTCATTGCATTAGGGAAATCTGTTGTCAGGGTCTCCTCCAAAGTGCTAAAGAGCAATGATATGAGTCTAGATACTAAGGTGAGCTTGATTCAGGCCATGGTCTTTGAAATTACTTGTTATGCATAAGAGAGCTAGCTGGACAATGACTAAAGACGAGAGAAGAAATATTGATGCCTTTGAGTGTGGTACTGGAGAAGAGTATTGAACATACCATGGACTGCCAAGAGAATAAACAGGCCTGTCTTAGGGATGGTGAAACCAAGCTGCTCTTGGAGGTAAGGATTCTAAAGCTCCATCTCACATGTTTTGGTCATGTGGCCAAGAGGGACCAGTCTCTGGAGAAGGACATCATGCTTGGAGGAAGACCCCAAAAGAGATGAATTGACACAGTAACTGGAGTAATCGGGTAGGTGTGTTGGAAACAGTGAGACTGGTTCAGGACAGGGCAGGGTTCAGGTACATAGAGTCACTGTGAGTCATAGGTGACTCAATGGCACATAACAACAACAATGGTCCCTCAAAAGCCTTCTTCATCCTGTGACACTGTAGATGCTTCTCCCGTATCCAGGCAATGTTCTTTGCTTGGTAACACCTGTTAGGTCCAACTTTGGATGCCATTTCCCCAGCTGACTGTAGACACTGCACCACAGCAGGGTGGCTTGTGAGGTCACCATCTGTATTTCTCTTTCTAGACTCAATCTTCAAAGGACAGGGATTATATCCATGTTGTTCATTCTATTTCTATAGCTTTGCTAAGGAGAGTGATATGACTGGTATTACAAGGTTCTAGGCTTTAAAATGTGTCTCCTTAAAGGCTCCTTTTAGGGCGCTCTGGTGGTACAGTCCTTATAGAGCCACTGCTAACCCCAAAGCCAGCCCTCACTGGTGGTTTGAAGCAGTTCTTCAGGAGAAAGATAGGCCATCTCTTCCTGTGCTAATCACAGCGTCCAAAACCCAATGGAGGGTCAGCTATGAGTCAGTTCCCACTCTACACCAATGAGAAAGCCCTCTAGCAGGTCTTTCCCAGTCAACCTTCTTCAGGCTGCTCCCATTATCTGCCCTAATCCACCACCATTCTATGAGAATACCTTTTTCACGGGGCCAGTACTTCCTTCAGGGAGCTCTGGTGGCTTAGTGGTAAGAAGCTGCACTGCAATCCCAAAGGCACACAGTTCGAGGCCACCAGATGCTACACAGGAGAAGGATGTGCAATCTCCTCTCGTGCGATTAACTGCCTCTGAAAACCCGCTGGAGGGTCAGCTCTAGGTCGGTTCTGACTCAATGGTACATAACAACAACAGTCCTTCTTCCGTGATGTTCACCTCCACCCCTCCACCAGCAATGACTAAAAGGACAGCTTGCCTCGCTGGAGTTGCTGGAGAGAATGGCGGTGACAACACCTGTCCACTCAAGGTATGACCAGCACACCTCTACCTGTCCTATGAGATGCACTAAGCAGCTTTGCTTCCTTTGGCAAATGGCAAATTTCCTTTGGCAAATTCCTCATGTTCACCCCGGGCAGGGTCTCAGCTCATAAACTCTTTGGTACAGTTTCCCACATCTACTCAGAAAACACCAGAGAACTGCAGCCAGATAAGCTTCGGAAGGACAGTCTCTCGATGATTCTCAAAGCACATCTGCGCACTAAGCCTCTGAGAAGTCCTGCAGTAAAGAAATTGGCTACACGTTCTGTCTTTCAATATTCTCCAAACTTACACAACCTGGGAGCTCACTCTTCCTCAGGAAGCTAGATGAAAGCTCCTCAGGAGACGTGGCTCCCACCTCCTCGTCTTCCAGGGCTCCCACTTGTTTCTAGCACATCCCCTTGCAGGCCCCTCTTCTCCAGGCCTCTGGGCCTTTTCCAAGCACCAGACCTCCCTCCTCCGGCTCCTCCATGTACTCTGTTGTATCCATCTGTTCTCAGCACGTTTCTAAAGTTGATCAAGAGAAGCCAGGTCACACTGTGTCCTTCTCGGTAATTTATTCTGGTTAGTGTGGTCATTCTGAGGCAACTACACAATATAGAATGTGAAGGTACATTTACTCACTTTGTCATCGCTGTCAAGTCAAAATCAACTCACAGCTGACCCTCTACTGTGTTATAGGAGCTGTAAGTTGCACTGGAGGAGACTGTCTAACTCTGCTATGGAGCAGCTTGCAGATTCAAACCACCAGAGACACCACCTCTGGGTTAGCAGTGCGAAAACCCCTACAGACTATGCTCCCAGAGTTCCCGGAGGTAAAGGGGAAATAAGTGCTGCAATCCTGAAGACATGTGGTATGACTCCTCCAGCTGTTCCACAGAGAGACGGGCAATCTCCTCCCAGGTGATTCACTGCCTCCGAAAACCTGCCGGAGGGGCAGCTATGGGTCAATTCCAACTCGACAGTACTCAACAACAATAACAAGTGTCAGGGAACTCTGGTGGCCTAGTGGTAAGAAGGTACACTGCAATCTCAAAGGCACATAGTTCAAATCCACCAGCTGCTCCATGGAAGAAGGTTGGGCAATCTCCTCCCAGGTGATTTACTGCCAGAGGGTCAGCTATGGGCTGGTTCTGACTCAACAGCCCCCAACAACAACAAATGTGAGGATAAAGATTCACAGGGGATTTGGTATCTTAATCTTCTCTTGAGTGGAACTTCTTCACAGCACAGCTTCTAACTTGAAATTTTCAGCCCTGACGGCCTGTGATAACAGTCTGCATTCTCACTCATTAACCCAGAACCAGTGCGATTGGCCTTCTTCAAAATTGGGTTTTGTATACATTTGACACATAAAGTAACAAATTACCGAGTATGTCAGAGTAGAAGGCCATCAGAGGTCACCTAGGGACCACATTTTAGTGCCATTCTCTCAGTGTAGAGATGGGAACTGAGGCTCAGAGAGGAGAAATGACTTGTCAAACGCCACACAGCATGTCAGTGATACGCATCATTGCTACCACTTAAAACACAGAAAACGCTGGAGGCTTGCAGGGACGTCTTCCTGGCCACAGTCCAGAGCCCAGCTTTCACCAACAGGAGCAGAGATGCAGCCTAGGCAGCCAGCGGAGCCATCTAAGCTCCCAGGCTGGAAAGTTGGCTCCCGGAGGGAAGCCCTGCTGATCCGTGTACTCCCGTTCCAATCCTGTTTAGGCTACTGGTGCAAGCGCTGGCTCAGGCTTTGTTCTTCCAGACTTCTGTTTTTACCGCTGCCTCGTGGGTTTGGCTCGGTGAACCCAGGGCTCCAGCACGTCGGGAACACAGAGCACAGAGCCAGAGAAGACAGGAGTGGGGACTGCAGGACGGAGCCAAGAACAGAACTCAGGTGTTCCTATCCCCTGCAAAAGGCTTGTTGGCCAGCACACTAAACGTGGTTATTCCTGGACAAACAGGTTGCTGGAACCCACAGCCTGTTTGGATGGCTTTTAGCTGTGTCCTCGAACCCTGGGAACAACCTGGATCCTGCAGACCCCTACCATAGCTCAAACTTGGCTATGAGCTGAGCACTAAGGACTGGGCAGGGAGATGAAATGCACAAGGAAGGCCGCCCTTGAACTTGGAGCTTGGCAATGCTCCCTTGGGAATAAGCTGGATAGGGAGCTCACTGGGGAGACACAGGCTAGCAGAGTGCTGGGCCCATGCCACCTGCCTTCATGCGCTGCTGAGGCTCCATGTGCCACGCGAATACAGAAAGGTCATCTGGCTGGACAGGATGCAGCCCGGAACATCCCCGTTGACTCACACACTCATTCAAGACAAAGTGAAGAATAATAAAAAGAACAGCTGTCATTTATTGAGTGTTCAGTACATGCCAGACACTGCGCTAAGCCCTTTGCAAGCACCATCCCATTCATCTGCATAACCACCACCCCCCCCCAAGCTAGGAAACCAAGAGGTCCATTTTGCAGATAAGGCAGAGAAGTAAATGTTGTAACCCATTCCACAGGGCAGACATCCAGGAACCAAACTCGAGTCTGTCTGATTCCAAGGTCTGTGTGATGTCTGTCCTGCAAGTTGTGTCCCTCTGATAGATGGGTATCTTCACTCCATTCCTCTGCCACCCATTGATGTGACACTTTCATGAACTAAACCCCAGATTATAGATCTATCAAGAGGGTGTCTAGACATGAGTGGGGAGCAGATTGCTGCAGGACAGTGACTGGGGGGCTCAGAGAGGCACTGAGGACAGTCATATTTTGAGGATGGTGGGAAGCTGATGATGATAGAGGGACAGCAGGGCATGTCGAGGCAGGAGGAGGATGCTCTGAATACAGGGAGGAAGAGACAGGAAAAGGCCAGGGATATACCCAATAGACAGTCTCTGGGAGCCTGGATCGGGGAGCAAGGCCGAAGGCATACTGGGGCCAAAGGTCACAGGATTCTGGCAGCAGTGAAACAGGAAGAGGAATGCGAAGGTTAAGCTTCAAAGTTGCATGACTGCCCACTTGCCCAAAGTCTGGGTGCACTATGGGGTGCTCTCCAGACAGCAGCACTCCCCCCCCCCACTGGCATTGGCTCTGGCACTGGGTCTTCTGGAGAAAATGAGTCAGCAGCGTGGTCACTGGAACCGTGTGTGTGTGTGTGTGTGTGTGTGTGTGTGTGTGTGTTGCGGTAGGGGGCGGGGGAATCTCAGCAGGCCAACTTTTTCCAAGACAGAGGGAAGAAGAGGAGGGGCATCATCCCCTTAGTTCCAGCTCAGAGAGGGCTGGGAATGGTGGGGAAGGCAGGGCTCCAGCCGTGACTAGCCTCTCAGGAGCATCCTGAGTGGGAGCATCCTTCTTGTCCAGGTGGGAAAGGAGCAGATCCAGTGCAAGAGGAGCAAAGTGGTCACACACACACACACTCACTCTCTCTGGGACTCGCTCTTGTACACACATCCTCTCTTGCACTACTCTTGACTCCCTTGACTCCGCAGGTTGGGAACTGAACCTCCGGCACAAGTAGCCCTTGAAGAGCCAATGCCCCCTCCCCTCCTCGGTCTCTGACGAAAAGCTGTGCTTGGTGACCTCCCAGGACCCTTTCTGCTTTGACAAACTAGCTTTCATCCCTGCGCCCCCTTCATACACAGGAAAGAGAAACTAAGACCCCCTTCAGAGTGTAAGGGGAAATACTGAGACACACAGACTCAGAGAGTCAGTCTGTCTCTGTGTCTCTGTCTCTCCCTCTCTCTCTCTCTCTCTCTCACACACACACACACACACACACGAATTTCATGAAACGTGGAGCATACAGAGCACACACACACTCCAGAGCTGGAGACTTAGAAACTTGCAGACAGCTTCATGAGAACGGAGACCTACAGCTCAGACGTGCAGTCACCAAGACACCGGGACACTGACAACCACCAAGACTTAGAGAAACGGAGACCCCTCCTTCTGCAGGCACGCAGAAAGTCTCCCACCGGCCCTCGCCGCCGCTCCTGGCGCAGCGACCCACCCCAGCCTCCGACCCCTGGGCTGGCCCCGCACGGACCCTCCCCAGCTCGGCCCTCGTTCAGGCGGGGGGGCGGGGGCACTGGACAGCCCCGGCAGCTGGTCGACCTTGCGCGGGGCCAAAGCTCAGTCCCGGTTAACCCTTGGCTGCTGGCCTCGCGGGGGCGCAGGAAGGGGCAGGAAGCTGACGTTCAGCTTGGAGCGTCCAGCGCGGCAGGGAACCCCAGCCCGCCTAGAGGCTGGAGCCGCAGGAATCTGGGCTGGGGCGTCCCCGAACTCGTACTCACCCCTTGCGCGCCGCCGCCGCCGCTGTGCCTCGGGCCCCCCGCGCCGATCCCGCTCCCATGGCGGGCCCCTACTTCAGGCTCCGGAGCCCGGGGGGCAAGTGTGGGCGCGCCCCATGGGGCCG